GTGCAATTGGCACAGGACAGAGCGGAGTTTAGGGCTGTTGTACATAGGGTCGCTATGAGTCGCAGGCGACTCGACGGCACATAACAACAACAACAACATCACTAATATCACATGCAAGCAAAATCCTGCTAACGATTATTTAAGAATGACATAATTTGACAATAAACTGACAATAAATTGACAGAGGAGTATCAGAAATACAAGCTGGATTTAGAAGAGGTTGTGGCAGGGTTGTCCCCAATGTCAGATGGATCTTGGCAGAAAGCAGAGAGTACCAGAGGAATGTCTATAGGTGTTTCATTGACTGTGCATTTCACTGTGTTGATCACAACAAATTGTGGCTAACCTTTAGGAAAATCCCAGAACACTTGACTGTGCTCGTGTGAAACCTATAGTTGGACCAGAAATCAGTCATTGGAACAGAGCAAGGAAACACTGCATGGTTCAAAATCAGGAAAGGAGTTTGTTAGGGATGCATCCTGTCTCCATACCTTTTCAACAAGTATGCAAAACAGATCATTTGGGAGGTTGGACTTTATGAGGAGGAGTGTGGCATCAGGATTGGAGGAAGACTCAACCCGCATTATGCAGATGACACAATCTTGCTTGCTGAAACTAAGGAGGACCTGAAGTATTTGCTGCAGGTACAGGACTGCAATATGAAGTGAAGCTCAACATTAAAAAAAAAAAATATAAAGATTCCTGGGAGAAAGGTTTCTTCCTTTCCGTCTGGCAGTAGCCATCAAGGTGAGCCAAGATGGGCGTGTACAAGTACATCCAGGAGCTGTGGCAGAAGAAGCAGTCGGACGTGATACGCTTCCTCCTGTGGATGCGCTGCTGGCAGTATTGACAGCTCTCGGCGCTGCACCGGGTCCCACACCCCACGCCACTGGGCAGGGCGTAGGGTGGACTACAAGGCCAAACAAGGTTACGTCATCTACTGGATTTGAGTTTGCCGGGGTGGCCACAAATGTCCGGTCCCTAAGGGAGCCACCTATGACAAGCCTGTCCACCACGGCATGAACCAGCTCAAGTTCGCGTGGAGCCTCCAGTCCATCACTGAGGAGAGAGCTCGTCACCACTGCGGGGCCCTGAATTCTTACTAGGTAGGTGAAAATTCTATGTACAAGTTCTTTGAGGTTATCCTCATTGATCCATCCCATAAAGAGATCAGAAGAAATCCCTACACCCAGTGGATCACAAAGCCTGTCCACAAACACCGGGAGATGCACGGGCTGACATGGGCCAGATGCAAGAGCTGTGGCCCGGGCAAAGGCCACAAGTTCCACCACACCACACACACACGCTGCACCCTGCAGCTGCACCGCTACGGCTGAGCGCGCGGGGCTTGTAAAGTGTGTCCCTAATAAACCATTGAAGACAGCCCAGCATCTACTCTAGTGGTTTTTTGTCCAACAGTAGTTGTCTGCAGATTGTTTGAAGAATGCATTGTCAAACCATAACATTAAACGTGCAATAATGTTTGAAGGAGAAAAAAAAAAGATTCTCACTACTGGGCCAGTTGGCAGCTCCATGATAGATCGAAGAGACTGAGGTTGTTAACAACTACAGCTTGCTCGGCTCCACAAGCAACACTCTCAACACCAGCAATCATGAAATCAAAGATTAATTTCATTGGGTATGTCTGCTATCAGAGAACTCTCCACAGTGCTAAAGAGCAATGATGTCAGTCTGAGACTATGGTGCACCTGATCCAAGCCATGGTCTTCACAATTACTTGGTGTTGATCAAAGAGCTGGGCAATGACTAGGGAAGTAGAAGAAAAATTGATGCCTTTGAGTTGTGTTGCTGGAGAAGAGTCTTGAACATACCATGGACTGCCAAGAAAACAAACAGGTCTGTCTTGGAGAGGGTGAAACCAATCTTCTCCTTGGAGACTAGGGCTTTGAAGTTCCGTCTCACATACTTTAGGCACGTGGCCAGCAAGAACTGATCCTTGGAGCAGGACATTATGCTCAAAAAGGTGGACGAACAGCGCAGGAGAGGAAGACCCCGGATGAGATGGATTGATACAGTGACTGGGACAATGGGGGTAGGTGTGTTAGAGTCAGTGAGACTGCCTCAGGACAGAGCAGGCTTCAGAGCTGCTGTTCATAGGGTTATTACAAGTCACAGGCAACTAAAATGCACATAACAACATTGTCTAGTGTACTTTTCAGAGTTTCTTCAACACCCACACAGTCAAGAAAGCAAAAGACATCTTGCAGGGGAGCTCTGGTGGCCTAGTGGCAAGGAGCTGCAACTACAATCCCAGAGGCGAACGGTTCGAATCCACCAGATGCTCTGCCGGGGAAGGAGGGACAATCTCCTCCTGTACCAGTCAGATCTGATTTGACGGTACGCGCGCGCGCGCACACACACACACACACAAAGACATCTTGCACTGGGGAAATCTGCTTTCAAGGACCTCTTTAAAGTCCTAGAGAGCCAGGATGTCATTTAAACAACTAAAGTGTACCTGATCCATGACATAGTATATTAAATCCATTTCTATAAATCTGAATGTTTGATAGTGAATAAGAATGACTGAAAAATTTGTCTTTCAGTTGTGGTATTGGAGAGGAGTGCTGTATATCCCATAGATTGCCAAAAGAACAAAAAACTCTGCCTTGAAGGAAGTGCAACCAGAATACTCCTTTGAGGCAAAGCTGGAGAAACTCACATACTTTGGGCATATTCTCAGAAGGAGCCAATCCTTGGACAGAGGCATCATGCTGGGAAAGGTGGAGGGGAGAGAAAGAGCAGACAACTCTCAATAAGATCTCTTGACACAGAGACTGTTGAAGTTGGCTCGAGCATGTTAGACACTGTGAGGGCAGGATACAGCAAGGTTGAGGTCTCTTATTCAGGGTGACTACGAGTCATAGTTGATGGCACCTAACAAGAAATAAGTGTCAAAGCTCATTTGCTTTTGATTTTACTCTAGGTAGTACTCTGAGTGGTAAAAAGACTACAAAAGTTGAGCGTAGAGTTGATGATAAAACTTTTGGGAATAGAGATTTGAAAATAACTTTTACTCATTACTAATTTTACTTCTGTCAGCTGAATATTTCAGGAATCACTGAAAAGGAAAACCTTACCTGAACCATTATGGATTTTGGTTACCGAGTCCAGATGTGTAAGGCTAAAGAGATAAAATACTTTAGGTTAGTGGCAAGCAGTACCAGAGGAAAAACAAAACAGTCATGCACTATAACAAAAATGATAAATTGCACCAAAACATTACCAAATGAATTAGATGAATATGTGTGAGTTAAATCCTCCTATTGTTAATTTTTTGGAGATGTGATCTTACATAATAAACATTCAAGGAACATATGGTAATTTTGAAATGATTGGCTGACTTGAAGCTTTCACACAATACACATTTATTGGTATCTGGTAATGTGTATTGGCTGACTTGAAGCTTTCACACAATACACATTTATTGGTATCTGGTAATGTGTAAGACCTATTTTAAACACCAAAAAAAAGTCTTTGCCCTTGCAAGATCCACAATGTAACCACAGAGAAACAAATGTAGAGATTATCATCACACAGCCTAAGAAACAGTATGATCAGAAACTATTATAAAGCTTTCTCACTAGAAGGTAAAAGAGCTAGGGGTATAGCAGTTAAGCTATTTAAGATAATAAGCAAAAAAAGACTAGAGATTAGTGGGGAAGAGGAGAGAAGGGGAGGGGAGGAGGGGAGAAGAGAAGAAAAAAGAGAGGAAAAGAGAAGAGGGGAGAGGAGAGGAGAGGAGAGAGAAGAAAGGAGGAGAGAGGAGAGGTCATCTACCTGTGGATCCTCCTGTATGCATCCTGCTCTTCCTGGCACAGGATCTTAGGCAGTTCTACTGCTGATTCAAGGCACACTTTCCCAATGGTGACATGAGGTACAATATGGATTGGAATTTCAATTCTTTCATACCTGAAAAGCAATCAGCTCAGGTCAGTTTTCCATCCTGACATCATAATCAGAAATTCTCCTAAGTTTTAATGGAAGCTCTGGAGAAGAGTTTTCTTAAAATATTAAATAACCCTATAATTTACTTTTTTTAAATATAGAATTTATTTTTGTGGCTCAACTATAAAGTAAACAGAGTTCACACTGAATTTTATTTGGGGCTAACTAGAAGCCCAGTTGCAGAACCAATATTCTCTGGTCCCATAAATAATTTGAGGCCATGTCTATAAATTTAATGGCAGCCTTGAGAACTAGAGGTCTTTATACCTGTTCTCCAGAGAAGAGAAATAGCAAATTAATACTGTTTTCAGCCAGGATGTGATCAGTGAAGTTGAACACATTAGTCACAATGCCTAGGGAAGAGGAACAGCAGACTCTTCAACAACTCCATCAGATTTATTATGTAGGTAGGATTACTCACATAATTGTTCACTTGTTCTAACTCAGAGTTCACCAGCAGCCCTCACTTTCCATTTTCTCCCCTGAGGGACAAATAGGTAAGAAATTCACAAATACTTGTATTTTCATGCTAGAGTAGGAGAAACAGATATAATTGTTACTGAGGCCAACCAGTCAGCCACTAACCATTTCTCAACTCAAATACCTAGATTCTAACAGTGGGTTCAGCAAATGGACCCAAAGACACAGGCTGGTAAAGTACCAGAAAGTCTAGCTCAGCACTCTCTTCTCCAACAAGGAGGATTGTTGGTTCCCATATTACCAATATGACTGGTTGTGACACAGACGCAACACAAATGATGGGAATTACCAGCATTTTCTTTCTTGCTCCCAACTATACACAACCAAGTTCCCAAAGATGAATTAATGAGAGAATATGCCCTAGATGACCCATTGGGTTTCTAAGGTTGTAAACAGACTGTCAGATTTGTTTTCCCTATGGAAGGGCTGGTGGGTTTGAACCACTGACGTTATGGCTGGGAGCGAAGTACACCACCAAGATTCCTTTTATAAGACTCCTCAAATTCATTGCCTTTAAGTCAGACTGACCCTTAGCTGACCCTCCAGAGGATTTTCAGATGCTAAAAATTGCGCAGGAGGAGACGGCCTGTATTTCTTCTGCAGAGCAGCTGTGGATTTAAACAATTCCATATCTATTGGGCCGTCAGAGCCCCCTTTTACAGGACTAGGATGATAAAACTTTTAGCTCATAGCTTGTCAAGGTAGGAAAAACTCTTTCCAGGTTCTCAGTTGTGAGTTCAATAGCATGTGCAATACACCAAGGATAAAAACTTTTCAGCCCTTACTTGAATGCCCAAATAGAAGTCATTTCAGTTTCTAAATGTATTAAAATTATCTGTGGAGGGTCTACAAATGCTATCACTTCCACATAACAACAAAAGAACTCAAATAGATAAAATATAGATTTTTTTTTAACAAAGATGTTGGAACCTGTGGAAGTAAAAACAAGTCTAAATGAAGTATATTTCAGTTGAGTGAATGGAAAGGCAATAGAAAATAAGGGCTGATTAGACATTGTAATTAATATTATGAGTAGTTGATGAGTAATTTACTCATATGCAAGTTCAAATAGAGGCCAAAGAGAATAAAATAAGTCCACAGGAACCAAGATATGATCTTGAATCAATTCGATCTGAATTTCAGGATCATCTTAGGAATAAGTTTGAGATTGAACACCAGTGATCGAAGACCAGAAAAGTTGTGGGATGATATTAGGGATATCATCGATGAAGAAAACAAAAGTTTATTACAAAAACAGAGGAGAAAGACAAAAGAGAAATGGATGTCAGAAGAGACTCTCAAAATCGCACTGGAGCACCAAGAAGCCAAAAGGAAAACATGCTGAAGTAAAAGAGCTCAACAGAAGAGTTCAAAGGGCAGCTCGGGAGGATAAAGCAAAGTATTATAATGGAATGTGTGGAGAGCTGGAATTGGAGAATAAGAAGGGAAGAACTCGCTCTGCATGTCTCAAGCAGAAAAAACTGAAAAACAAATTTAAACCTCGAGTCGCAATATTGAAAGATGCTATGGGCAATATATTGAATGACCCAGAAAGCATCAAAAGAAGATGGAGGGAATACACTGAATCACTGTATCAGAAAGAACTAATTAACACTGAAAAACTTCATGAAGTACCGTATGAAAAGGAGCTAATAGAAATGTAGGAGGAAGTAGAAGCTGCATTGAAAGCGTTGGCAAAAAATAAGGACGCAGGAATCAGTGGGATGCCAAATGACTTGTTTCAAATAACAGATGCAGCCCTGGATGTGCTCACCAGTCTATACCAGGAAATTTGGAAGGCAGCTGTCTGGCCAACAGATTGGAAGAGGACCATATTTGTTCCCACTCCCAAGCAAGGTGATCCAGCTGTGTGTGGAAACTAGTGAACAATGTCACTGAAATCACTTGCAGTCACAATCCTGCACTCTTTCCCCTTCTCCCTAAGTTCCCGGTTTCCATTTGTCTTTTTTAAAAAAATTTTTATTCTTTTTTTGCATGTGTACCGTCAAATCAGATCTGACTGGCACAGGAGGAGATTTGTCCCTCCTTCTCCAGAAGAGCATCTGGTGGATTCGAACTGTGCACCTCTGGGATTGCAGTGCAGTTTCTTGCCACTAGTCCACCAGAGGTCATCTCCATTTGTTTTTTCCTGCCCCTTCCCAGCACCTGAGCTTTGCTTTGGGGCCAATGCTGCCTTCTTGGTTTAGTGTGGTTGGTAGTAGTGAGGAACATAGTCCTTCGTGATGTTAATGCTCACTTTACAGGCATGTTTATTGTTTGCTGAAAGGTGATTCCCAGGCTTGAAAGGTGTCTATGAGCCAGTCTCAGGGTTCCAGTACTCTCTATCAGAACATTAAGCCTTGTCTTTTTTACAAATTTGGATTTTGTTCTGCATTTTTCTTCTTCTCCTCAATGCAGGATTTTGTATTGTGTTCTTGATTTGAGCAATCAATAGTCATGCTGGGCACCATCTAGTTCTTCTCATCTACAGGCTGTGCTTCTCCTGGTCCATTAGACCTGTGGGCTAGTTATTGCCCCGTTATTGGTTTTCTTCCTCTTCTTTGCTCCAGATGAGGAGAGGCCAATAATTACCTCTTAAACATTCACACATAAGCTTTTATGACCTTTCCCACCTCACTAAAGTAGGAGTCTGAACATTGTCTTTGTGAAGTATATTATGTCAGCTGACCTAGTTGCCACCAAAAATGTGGCCATAAGTCCTCAAGCCCAGCAACTCATTTGCTCAAGGTATTGGGTATGGCTAAGAAGTTTTCAGAATGTTGCCTCCTTCTATGTTCTACAATAGTTTGAGTATACTTACAGTACACATAAATGCTTATTTAGAAATATTCTCTCAGGCCTATATATACCATGGGTATACTCCAACTGACCATCCCACATCTGTTCAGCTTGCATGTCGACCTATGATCTGTTGTTGTTATGTGCCATCGAGTTGCCTGTGACTCGTAGCGACCCTGTCCTAAACCCTACTCTATCCTGTGCCAATCTGTCTCTGACACACCCAGCCTGATTACCCTAGTCACTGAATCAATTCATCTCATCGAGGGTCTTCCTCTCCTGCACTGTCCCTCCACCCTCCCAAGCATGACGTCCCTCTCCAAGGACTGGTCCCTCCTTGCAACATGTCCAGAGTACGTCAGATGAAGCTCCAGAATCCTTACCTCCAAGGATCAGCCTGGTTTCACCCTCTCCAGGACAAACCTGTTCATTTTCTTAGCAGTCAATGGTATAGTCAATACCCTTCTCCAGCACCACAGCTCAAAGGCATCAATTATCCTTTTATCTTCCCTAGTCATTGTCCAGCTCTCTGATGCATAGCAAGTGACTGCAAAGACCATGACCAAAAATTAGGTGCTTCTAATCTATCAACTGCTCCATGGTAGAAAGATGAGCAGTCTCCTCTTGTCAAGATTTACAGCCTCAAAACCCAATCAATGGAGAGTCACTATGAGTAGGAATCAATAGGAATCAACTGAAGGGCCGGAGGTTGGGTTGGGTTTGGCAATGTCTAAGGGGTCTGGTGGCTGAGTGGCAAGAAGGTGCACTATAATCCCAAAGGTGTGTGGTTTAAGGCCACCAGCTGCTCCAGAAGAGTATAGGCAGTCTCCTACACCTGGTACAACAAAGATCATGAACCTTTTCTTCACATATATATTGGATTCCTACTTGTCTTTTTTGGTGACATATCAGCTCATGTTGAGATATTCACGTTTTCTAGAAATTTTAGAGATTAATTCCTTATCAGATATACTACTAAAAAAGTACACCTTGCCAAATCTGTACATTCTCTTTGTAAAAAGTCTACTGACTTGTATGCTTAATTTTCAGGAGGTCCTGTTGTTATGTGCCATCGAGTCACTTGTGAGTCATAGCTACCCTATGTTCAAGAGCCCTAAACGCAGCTCTATCCTGTGCCAACCTCGCCGTCTCCGACACATTCATTCCCACCACCACAATCACAGAATCAAGCCATCTCATGGAGGGTCTTCCTCTTCTGCACCATTCCTCCACTCTCCCAAACATGATGTCCCTCTCCAAGGACCAATCCCTCCTTGCAAGATGCCCAAAGTATGTCAGATGAACCTTCAGAATCCTTGACTCCAGGGAATATTCTGGCTTCACCCTCTCCAGGACAAACCCGTTTGTTCTCCTAGCAGTCCATGGTATATCAACACTCTTCTCCAGCACCACAGCTCAAAGGCATCAATTCGCTATCATCCCTAGTCACTGTCCAACTCTCTGATGTATAGCACGTAATTGCGAAGACTATATCCTGGATTAGGTGCACCTTAGTCTCCAGCCTGACATCATTGCTCTTCAGTACTCTTTTTTTTTCCCCTTCAGCACTCTAGAGGTCCCTCTGATTGTGTGTTTTCAGTTATGTTTGCTAGACTATGCTATAAATAGAGCATCTTTGTCCCAGTTTTATTCTTTCATTTTTACAGTTTCTTGCACAATGTCCAAA